ATACCCCGTCTCAACTCAACCGTCGCAGCGTCGCCACTGATACAGGGTTCTTTTCGCGGGTGTTTCTTTATTACGGTAATTTTTATCGTAAAGTGCCCCCCACCTTCTTCCTCCACATCGTCCACTCATTTTTCTTCGTAGGATTTTTGAATAGCCGCTCATTAAAACTGTCATTAGTCTCGCGATTGTTATTTGCTATCATTACGAGTACAATGTATCACACTGAATAATCACACACTACAATGTATCACACTGAATAATCACACTACAATGTATCACACTGAATAATCACACTACAATGTAATGTTTGATCACAACACAATCACACACATCACGTCACGTCACGGCACGTCACGCACGCACGCACGAACGCACGCACGCACGCACGCACGCACGCACGCACAGCACACACACACACACACACACACACACACACACACACACACACACACACACACACACACACCCACATCACACACCACTACACACGTATCAACAATGTTCGTTTAGTTAGCATTTAGTTACTTTGCGATCTGCGATGCTGCGCAGTTGAAAAAAACCAATGCGTCAAGCGAACAATCAACGCGAACAATGCGAATTAAACAATCATATGCACAGCAACGACGACGACAGAATACGTAGATGGTCCGCGGCTCGAGGGAGTTCACTCGCGTTACACTTGACTACTCCCTAACCCTAACGCCATACCCTAACCCTAACAACCTAACCTAACCCCCTAACCTCTAACCATATCAAAATAGTTACTCGGGTACCATATTGATTACGCATTTAAACGGACAAACGACCCTTCGTGCGTCACTATGCACCAGCGTTAAGATCCAAACTCGTTCGTTCGCGATGGTCAAGCCACCGAGACGCACGCGCTAGACTTCGCAGAGATACTGTGCAGCTTTAACGCACTCTCCCTCGCGACCCAGACACACGCGCGCGAGATAGAATAGACTTCGCGGAGATAGACTGGACAGCTTTAACGCACTCGCCTGATCACGGGCCAGCAACATTACATAACACACACTCACTCCACGGAACTTCGCCGAGTCTTTACAAACTTCACTCATTAACGCCCTCGCCGCGGCGTTACGTCCAGTATGACTCGATCAACTCCGTTATTACAGAGCGCCGCGCGCGCTGCGATGAGCAGAGTAGAGCAGAGAGCAGAGAGAGACGAGAGACGGAGAGAGAGACGGGAGGATGAGAGATGAGGAGAGAGAGAGACTGAAGAAGAGAGAGAGAGAGAGAGAAGAGGAGAGAGATGAGAGAGAGAGAGAGAGAGAGAGATGAGAGAGATGAGAGAGAGAAGAGAAAGGAGAGAGAGAAGAGAATGCAGAGACGAGAGATCGTACAGAGAGACGAGAGAGACTGACGATGAGAGAGAGAGAGAGCGAGAGCAAGAGACGAGTGAGAGAGATGATTGTCCGATAATGCATAGAATGAAATAATGCCTTCGAATCGGCAACATCACCGTAATCTTCCCGCCTGCCTTCCCCCACGCTGCGCACGTTTTCCCGGAGGGAGGAGGGAGGGGAGGGAGGGATGAAGAGAGGAGGGAGGGAGCGGAGGATGCGAGGGAGGCAGGCAGGCCTTAGGGAGGGAGGGAGGGAGGGCGTCTCCGTGGGAACTCGCCGCAGCGTCAGTGGCCGCCGCCTAACGAGAAGTGTATATATAGTGATGAGACACTCACGTCGAGTTGCTGCCATCGTGCATGCATGGGACGACGCCGTAGGGCCTCCTCCACGCCTACGCCTTCAGCTGGAGTGGGTCAACAACACTCGACCGTGTTTCCCCCGCGGTTACTAGTGAAAAACCTCCCGATCGCGCGTAAACTCACTAGTCAATCTCGGAAGGGTTCTTAAGCTTCTCTTAGCGTCTGTGCGTGTGTTACTGCGGTAGGTAATGTCTGAGATCATAATTAACGTTAGGAGGGGGACCACCGACTGGTTAGCTCTAAGCGAAGCGGGGCGTGGGTTACCTCTAGAACTACGGCCTTTCGCTCTACCACAGGTTAGCTCTAGAACTATGGCCCTTCGCTCTGCCACAGGTTACCTCTAGAACTATGGCTCTTGGCTCTGCCACATGCAGGTTACCTCTAGAACTATGGCCCTTCGCTCTGCCACAGGTTACCTCTAGAACTATGGCCCTTCGCCTCTTACAAACTAGCGTTACCTCTAGAACTATGGACCCGTCGCTCCTTGCCCACAGGTACCTCTGAACTATGGCTCTTGCTCTGCCACATGCAGGTTACCTCATTAGAATATGCGCCCCTTCGCTCTGGCCACAGGGTTAGCCCTAGAACTATCGGCCTTCGCCTTCGTGACAACAGGTTACCTCTAGAACTATGGCCCTTCGCTCTACAACAGGTTACCTCTAGAACTATGGCCCTTGGCTCTGCCACAGGTTACCTCTAGAACTACGGCCCTTCGCTCTACAACAGGTTACCTCTAGAACTATTGGCCCTTGGCCTCTGGCCACAGCGTATAGCTCCTTAGAACTATGGCCCTTCTCTCTGCCACAGGTTACCTCTAGAACTATGGCCCTTCGCTCTGCCACAGCCGGCCGATGTGGCAGACGCGAAGGGCCTATAAGTTCTAAAGATAGCGTCGGCTGGTGTAGGCACTCATTCGCAAGCATCGAGGAGAGAAGAGAGAGAGAGAGAGAGGAGAGAGAGAGAGAGCGAGATCGAGAGAGAAGATGAGAGCGAGAAGAGAGAGAGGAGGAGAGAATGAGAGAGAGAGAGAGAGAGAGGAGAGAGAGCGCAGGAGAGAGAGAGAGAGATTGCTGATGAAGAGAGAGAGAGGAGAGAGAGAGACTGGGAGCGCAGAGAGAGGTTAGAGATCGAGAGATGCGATCTGAGGAGGAGAGGAGAGAGCGAGAGAGAGAGAGAGAGAGCTCTGATGCGGGCGGCGTGGCGCGGCGAAAGCGTTTTCAAGATAAACATGAATTTTAGTCGAATCGACACTTCACCGGCGCCGAGAGGTGCGCCCTGACAATTGTCGCAGCTGATTGCCCCACCTGTTCACACTTACCTGGAGAAAAGCGCAAACGGCGCACCCACGCACTATGCACGCATGCGTTGCCACGTGTCATGCTATGCTGTGCGCGCATGCGTGTGCGGTGCCGTGGTAGATTCGCGTCAACAACAACTGTGCATTTGGAAATCGGGGGATTTTGGAACGGTGAAAATATGGAGGTATGAGGATCGATGTGATAAAAGAGGAAGCTTGAACTATAAGAGTGCTTTAAAAATTTCGAGAAAATATCGTAAATTTCCCCCCGATAATCTTTTGCTATGGTCCATCAAAAAACTCGTATTTGTTCGTATTAAAGTGATTACGTCACGAATTACTAGCACCATCAAGTAGTATATTTGGTGTGTTATTTGTACAAAATCAAATGTATGAAATACAATTAGTGTTTCTGTTATACTTTTCATGCATTATATACCTTCTTTATATGCCCTAATTGCCTGAGTGAAAGACCAGAGAGACGCCAGTAAATCTGAACAGTACTGGAGGGATAGTTGTTTTAGGGGACAAAAAACAAGAAAAAAAATTACAAATCGTCTAGATTTTGGCAAATTTTAACCAAGTAAAACATTTTATATCAGCGTGAGAGTTTGAGGATATATTTTAGTAACGTTTAGTTCTTACTTTTAATGTAAAAAAATGGGAATTTTTTTTTAACAAATTTTACCATGGAAAATTCGTGACATAGACAATTTAATGATCTAAACCTTCTCATGCGATATCACAAAGGTTCAACGTTCCGCGTATAATATTAATGCGGTGGGATTGTCCTTTTTCGTGGGAGTCAAGTTCGACAGCTGCTCTATGACTATGTCGAAGATAGATGTATACGATTTCATAAAATAATGAAAAACAAGAAAAAATCAAGAGTCATTCGAGCACGCACACTTATTGCGTGCGCTATTGGTATAAGCTCAAGTGTAAATTTAAAAGTGCAATCCAAGACTCGCATACCACCCGATCTCATAATCGAAATCAAACTTTCCGGACTATTTTATATCGCCCCTATTTAAATGTTTAAACGCGTCTAAGCGAAATACCAGAATGGTTTGATATATACCCATATTCAAAAATAGCATTTTATAAAATATTAAAATAATACCACCGATTCTGCCAACAGAAATCAAAAGCCGATTTCCACTTCCAGTGGCACTGGCATGTTTCGCGTTAACCTTTCTGCAGAGGTTCGCCGTGTTTTATAATGTTTCTACAGCGAGCAAAGCTTTCACAGAGATTCGACTCTAATGCGTTCCTTTTTTGCGTCGTCCCGTCAGTCTTTTGACGTATTGAATCAACGTTCCCCCCGTACGTTATCTCCGGCAAGCAGGTAGGCAATCTCATATAAAGCACTGCACGACGCGAACATATTGCACACACGGCTTATTTATCGAAAAATCTAGCAAAGCTCTCTCGCTTCTGGCTTCCGACTTTGTTTAACCTTCCATCGTCCGTCTAACCGGATCCGATCACATTCCGCGCACGTGGCACCGGTTTTGTTATCCACAAACAAAAGAGCTGCGCCGAGGAAATGCGTTTTGCGAAAAAATCCTATAGAGTTTATGTTAGTTATTCATCAATATTGCAGGAGCGGCGTTTGCGCTGCTACCACAAGCATGTAAGAAGTGCTGCGAGGCGGATATAGTCTTCTCAGACAGTATATGTTTTGGCTTTCCCACTGACATACTCCGACATGAATTCTAAAACAAACTCGACTAATACAAACTACTATTTAGCGCGTGACCTTTACATAATATATACATCTGCAAATTAGCAGCAGCTCTACGACCCTCGCAACAGTTTAAGAAAGGTTTTTTTTTAGCTAGAAAAGGAAGCTGTTCGTAGCAGAAGAAGAAGAAGAAGAAGAAGCCACACTCATCTTCCCACGCTCTACATCTGTTGTTAGCGCTACAATAATGTTAGTACAATTCTTCTGCGGGATCATTTACAGATCCCCCCCAGCCCGCCAGCTTCACAAAACGACGTATATATAGGCATATATAGGAGTGCAAGCTTTAAACACAACGCGAACACAGTGCGAGTTTAAGACAACAAACGAACGCTGCAGCGAGGCGGCCTTGGAAACTGTAACAGAGAAAAAAAACCTCGCAAAGATCGAAGCTGAAGCTCACCAGTCCGTACAGCAACCGCAAGAAAAATCCGTGCATCCCCCATCCACTGTACGCGAGTCGGATTCAAAGCAGAAACTCGCGACCAGTTTACTAAAAACCTCCAATACAGCCACACTCACACAGCCCCGCGTCTACACACACACACACACACACACACAGCCCCGCGTCTACACACACACACACGCGCGCGCGCACGCGGAAAACAACTGTTTTTCTACGGGAGGGAAGCCAGAGCCGGCGGCGCCGCACGCCCGCTCGCTCCTACGTGATTATTAGCTTGATTGGCTACTACATCCACTTTGATTCGTTTACAGCGCCCAACGCGTCCGGTCTCCTGGACTCTCCGACAATGGACGAAGACAACCCGACCACCGCCGCCGCCGCCAGCAGCAGCAGCAGCAGCAGCAGCGGTGGCAGTGATGGCGGCTGGAGTGATACGTGGGACGCGTCGCCGACGGCGTGGAACGACACAAGTGGTTACGGCGCCGTCACGTCGGCACCGTGGCAGGCGGTGCACGCCGCCGCCGACGCCGCTACGTCCGCGGCAGACGCGTCGTCGGCCGACGCACTAAACGTCGGCGACGTGTTGGCAACGGCGTCCGACGCGACGTCGACCGCCCACGTCAGCTCGCCGACGCAATATCTCGCCGGCACCATGGCGACCACCGACGCGAGCGGTGACGTCACGAGTAGTGACGTCACGTGGTATGCGCAGACGCACGCGACGACGGACCACCTCGGTGGCGACGTCGCCAACGTCACGTGGTCGGCGCAGGGCGCCGACCACGTGACGTCTCTCCTCGGAAGCCACGACGGTGGCGCCGCCACGCTGCGGAACAGTGTCTACGACATGCTCCCCTTCAACACAACGTTCGCGAACGCCACCGACGACGACATGTTCACCTTCGCTACAACGTTCGCGAACGCCAGCGACGACTACGATATGTTCAGCTACAACGCGACGTTTGCGAACGACAGCATCCTGTACGGATACGCGCCGACGACGTCGTCGCCGCAGCAGCACGGGTTTCACATCGACTGGTCCAAGTGGCCATTCATCATCCTGAGCGTGTTCGTGCTGACCGGGGTGATCGGCAACGTACTCGTCATTCTGGCTATCCTACTCGAGAAGAAGCTGCAGAACGTGACCAACTACTTCCTGCTTTCGCTCGGCATCGCAGACCTGCTCGTGTCAGCCGTCGTCATGCCGCTGGCCATCATCACCGAGTTCTACGGTGAGTCTCTTTCTCCCTCCCCCCCCCCTGTGCTAGCCGTGACCTATGCAGAACGGTCACCCGTACATAACGCGCAGTATCACCGAGTTCTACGGTGAGTCTCTTTCTCCCCCCCCCCCCTGTGCTAGCCGTGACCTCTGCAGAACGGTCACCCGTACATAACGCGCAGTATCACCAAGTTCTACGGTGAGTCTCTTTCTCCCCCACCCCCTTGTGCTAGCCGTGACCTCTGCAGAACGGTCACCCGTACATAACGAGCAGTATCACCGAGTTCTACGGTATAGTAGTCCATCCCAATCCGAGTTACATCGTAAGCAGGTGGAGTACACGATCGCATGTACACGCAGTTATTAGTCCCCCTGTGGTAGCAGTTCCCTTTGCAGAACGGTCACCCGTACATAACGTGCGGTATTACGGAGTTATACGGTGAGTCTCGTCGCAAGTAGGTGTAGGTACACGATCGCATGTACGCAGTCCACCCCCCCCCCCTGTGGTAGCCGTCACCTCTGCAGAACGGTCACCCGTACATAACGTGCAGTTGGGGAGCGGTTCTCAGCGACTGGTAGTTTATACCCGGGAAGCCACGTCCATCGAACATATATCTGTCCATAACGGACAGTTGGGGCGGGGCGGGGGGTTGCACGCGACCGGTAGTTTGTACAATGGAATCCGTGCTTGTAGCGGGATTGTCTTACTACAGATATTGTCCTGTGTAAGGGGAGTTCATCGACATGTGGATTTGTTTCAGTTTTTCCACGTGCCGTCATTGTTTTTGGGGCTGTTTTCCGTTTTCCCACACGTGCATCTAGGCGATGAACGATACGTCTGCGATCGGGGAGCGAGCTGCGCGCTTGTATCTTACATTCATCATTAATTGGCGTCATTAAGAAACGCATTTATTATTCTGCTCGGAATGTACCAAACGAAAGGCGAAGCCAGATAGGGATTTAATATGCGTTTGTTTACTACGATGCACATAATTCCTGATAACTTGCATAGATAGGCACGGATATGGGAGTGTAGGACAGGTTTATACGAGACCCCATCAGTAAGTGAAAACTACAGACGAGCGGTATAGTTCTACCGTTGATAAAGCAATCGGTACGCACTAGACAGTGAAATTGAATGTAATCGAATTCGAATCTATCGCGGGGAAAGGAAGAAGAAGAGCTAATCTTAACTAGGACAATCTACCATATGATTAGTGCTAGCTTATTAAATAGTTGTCACGCTAGGAATCTAATTATTCCCTTTAGATTAACTCAATTATCAATTATTGGAAATATCAAAGGTCGGTCAAATAGCTGAGAATGCCACGCACACAGCTATGTTACACGCACACCCAGCCACGCACGCACACATCGACACCCACGCACACGCACACGCACACCCACGCACACATCCATACAAACACACACGCACAAACACGCACACGCACTTTCACACACACACACACACACGCACGCACGCACGCACGCACGCACGCACGCACGCACGCACGCACACGGGGAAGGAATGCGTGTGCCCGTACGACAGCACCCAGTAGTATTGGTTTGGTATTTTAATTTGTTTCCACATATCACCGGCCAGCCGGCACGGTAACAGGAGTAACAAACCGCCCGCTGCTTTATGAAGCCAATATAAGACCGTATCTCCTGGCCTCGTGTTCCCATCACAGTTGTTATCAATCCCTGTATGAGAAGACACACTCAGAGATCTTAGCCTTACATACCTACATACATACCGATACATATAGGTATACACCTATACCTATTTATATATGTATATGTATATGTATACGTGTACGTGTACGTGTACGTGTACGTGTACGTGTAATGTATATGTATATGTATATAATAGTCAATATACTATACCTATATATCATATAATGTATATGTATATTTATATGTATTATATTGTAACTATATAATACATTATATTACCTATATACAATGGTATAGGTATATGTATAAGTATATGTTAGTGTATATTATGATGTATATGTCAGTATATGTATATGTATATATTATATATATATATATTATGACAGTATAGACGCTATATACATATATATGTAATATGTATATATATATATATAATCATCAGGAGCTTAAATGAAATGATCCACCAGGCTGTATGTATCACAGAGCACGCGTCCCTGTTCCTTGTCTCTCCTGTAAACGAATTGACAGACAAGTACGTGTAGTTGACTTGTCTTGATCGGCCGGCCAGTAAACATAATTGATTCGCGATAATTCATCTATTATTTAATTACCTGAATAATTTAGCTGCATTATATTATTCGATACTGTGATTTCATGAAGTGCGCAGCCGCGCGGCATTAGCGCCGGGAACATATTTCAGTGAAGGCATACTCGGTGTCCATTGCTCGTTCGTCAAACATTCCCGCAGGCGTAGAGGCAAACAAAAAGTCGTGACAAATTAAGATTCGATAGCTCACTCTTTACGAGACAATGACAAATAGACACACGACCAGTCACACACACGACACCGCACATATGTAGATGCAAACGAGCAGCTTCATTGTTATAGTTTACTCAGTATGTTGTGGTCGCGTTGCGTGTGTGCGTGTGTGTGTGCGTGTGTGTGTGTGTGTCTCTTACGGTAGCGGTATGTAACGGCCTCTCTACACATAACTAAACACCGCCGCGCGCCTGTCTATATACATGGTTGCGAATCGTCCCATAGCTAATCGCAATAGAAGTTTACCGAGGCCATACGTGCGTGCGTTAGCGCCAGCGATACGATTAGAGAAGGATCCATGTGCGGGTAAATCTGTCAGCATGGCTTCGGCTGCCGTCCTAATGTGGCTCATTACACCAGCCGACACACAATACACAAACTGACCTAATATATGGGCGCTATCGGACTGCACGCAACGTGCTGTGAGTGCAGCGTGGCGTAACATTAGCAGCAGCGACGCGAATCGCATTAGCACGTGTGTGGAGCACGGCGTTATTGCAACATCCACGTGCTACCATTGACACGTTTACGTTAGCATTGCATTAACGAAGTCGAACCCACGTCGTTTGCGTATTTTATTATCCACAGGCTAATTAATAAGAGGTAGTGATTATTATTTATTATTATTATTATCATTATATTAGCTCTTGTTATTATGTATAGCTGCGAGGATTCTTTGCGGTGGTTTGCATCTTTACGCGGCTGAAAACATCCGCATGATCATCACAAACACAACAACTCTGTGACAGTCTGCGTGCTCTCGATACAATGCGTGCTCCCCTGAGTTTTGATTCACACAGCCGCCCACCTACCTGGCCATCTATATTTCCGTGGGCAGCGCGCGCAGAAAATAAAAATGCTGTAAAACATTGCGAAATGCCTTTCAAATACATCGCAGATTTTTCACAAGCACAACGAATCAATGCCACCTTCATATAATATATATCTCGTCTTTATTGTGGTTCACGTAACCGTATACTGTGGGCGTGTATACATACATACATACATACACACACATGCGTACGCGTGTCTTGTATTCAATACGTACACGCTCGCTATATACGCCGATATTTGCTGCTTGTGCATTCGCATCAAATGCGCGATTGATTTCTCAGGGATGAGAGAAGAATTGCACGAGCCACTGCACGGTGGAGAACACGCAGAGTAGCGAGGCTGAGAATGACGGATAGCTAAGCTGAGCGATGCTGGGAGTGTGACTGACAGGCAGTCAACGACCGATAGAGAAGCGAAACACTGAGAAACGGGGTGGGGAGTGGAATAATACAGAAAAGGGTATTATTTGATGGATTTTATTTTATTAGTGATGCAATCATCTCTGAAATAAGGTAAGCATTCAAACAAAAATCAAATTTCGTAACCTGGGAAAACAGGCTTTATAACTGTTTTATACGCATAATGGAGATATTATTTCCTTTATTGCATTTGCGCAGCAATACCAAACCGGTTGAGTGGCATACAGTGTTAGCAGCCTGTCGGGTTATTTCAGCTAGTGCGGTGTTTGAATCCTATATGTATAAACAGTGCACTACGGATTTTCATGGCAACTATATAATTGAAGAGTAAGTTTATTTTACGATGAATTCACGTATGTAACCGGTTAGCAAACGTTGTGGCAACTTCACTAGCTGTTATATAGGAGGCGAACGGACAGGCAGGTAGGCACACACGCACATACACACGCGCGCGCGCACACGCACACGCACAACCATGCACACACACACGCACGCACACACACGCGCACGCACACACACACACACACACACACACACACACACACACACACACACA